TCGACATGTGCTAGCGTTTACAGCTCCCACTAGCGGGCGTCAGTAATCATGATTATATCCGAGACAAAACCATGCAGGATTTCCAAAAATCCATAATTCTCAATCCATCTCAAATCTCAGACACAAACCAGAAAATTTCCATGTGACCATGGATTTAACAGAAAACTCAGAATTTGCAAACTCTCAGTTCATCAAAACAGTTCAGTCAATTTCCAAATAGGCATGCTCTACTCAATGCAACGAAAACAATTTCATTCCAATCATGCTCAATTCCCGAAAACAATGAAATTTCCATTTTCATTTCTCAATCATGCTCATTTCTAGAAAATCAATAAAATCCTCATTTTCTTTCCAATCATGCTCAATTTCAGAAAAACAAGGAAATTCTCATAAAAACCATCACAATTTCCATTTCAGTTTAATCACACTCAAATACAGATAAAATCAATTTAAAGCTTGCCACCATCTCAAAAACAGTTTAAAACATACTTTAAAATCAGAGGGCTTTTACCATAATTTACTTACCTCACTCGCACAGAACAGAAGGCTAACCCAAGTGCTACGGTGACAGAACGATCAAAACCTAATCACAATATTCCACAATTAATAACCATACCACCACAAATTCAAAGTAAAATCATCTCTAACACTACCCCTAATCACGGTGCTATTTCTATCAATCTCCGCATAACCGGACATCTCCAAATTTATCCTTATATCACAAACTAAACCTTTAAATCCCCGTTAATCATTAACCCTCGGTGTGTGAACAGTGCCTATGAACAGTACCCGTGAACAGTGCTCACGCCGTGAACAGTACTGCCACTTCCAAACATTAGCAAAACCATAGCTAATCTCACGGGATTTTTCACACAAATCATCACAGCAGCTAATTCAAGCTAAATTCTACATAATCAAGCTTAAAACACATTTAAAAGGGCTACCAAATTCATCCACTATCCCAGCAGATTCGGACAACACAGAGCATCAACTAATGGACAAAACCCAGCCATTAAATGGGTCATTTTAAGCTTGGAAAAGACGGCTAC